TCGATATACATTCAACGTTATTCTGCTGACTGGGCATTCCCTCGTGGCAAGCCAATGTCCGTATAAATCCATACGCAGAAATTCCTTTAAGTTGTTTAACCTTTCTTACATCCGCTTTCGTACCTCTTACAAATATTTCCCAAAACCAAATCTGTCCTAACAAATATTTTCCCCTAAAATACAAAAAAGTTAATACTGTGTTAACATATTACCGGGGGTTGGCCTTCACTGCACCACAGTGGTCTAGTAGTCAGCGTTCCTGGCTACAGATCCAGAAGTCTGGGTTCGATCCCCGACACTACCACATTTTTCGGAGAAGTAGTGGGTCTGGAACAGGGTCCACTCAGCCTCGTGATAACTGAGGATCTATTTCAAGGCTCTGGTCTAGAAAACCGAAATTAACGGCCTTGTGGATTCGTTGTGCTGACCACAGGACACCCTCTGTCCGCAAAAGTTGGCACTAAACTTTGCCGACAAGCAGCAGTCACTCATTCAGTATAGTTCGCTTACGGACTGAAATCACGGAGGATGTTTTTTTTTCTTCTATTTGCATAGGCTGTATCAGCCTTCTTGTAAAGATCAGACAATAGCATTTTTTTCTGTATGATATAAATACATGGGTTTTACCTTCCAAGGATCTCTAATTTGTAATTTGATATAGTGAATCAGCCATGCAGTGGCTTTCTTCTTTACGGAATTTTCAGCTGTCCTAAGCAGAAAAGTAAACTCTTCTGAAGGCCATGCCATAGCTCAGGCAGTTAGTTGCCAGCATCTCACTGCAGCGGCCCAGGTTCAAGGCCAGGTCAGGTCATGTGGAATTTGTGGTGGGCAGAGTAGCACTGGGGCATGTTTTCTCTGACTACTTTGGTTTCCCCTGCCAGTTCTCATTCCACCAACTGCTCCACACTCATCTGTCATCTGGGATTTGTACAATAGGCCAGTTAGTGGCCAACATACCAAGTGGACTCAGTCTCACCCCACACCAAGAAACTTAAAAAAAAAAAAACTCTTCTGAGGTAATTTGTGAATAGCTGAAGTACTTTTCAGGGCGTTTTGGAACAGTTTCTCTTTGCATATTTGCTGAAGCTCAAGTCTCTTGTGTCCTTTGTTCTCCACTGCTATACAGTTTTAAATGTGTTTTTATGACATTTTGTTTCATGCATTTAGCAACCTGAACCTGATTATCTGTCTGTAAAATAACTGTTTTTATCAAAATTGAGGTCACTGACTGAAACTGTTGTAGGCATTAGTGTTTCACGTAAACCAGTTCAGTAAACTAATTTCATAAAAATCAATTGTAGCACCAAGAGTCTTACACAAAGTAGCCTAACAAAAACTGAACATGCTTTAAAGATGATTACCACACAGAATTTCAAAATCCTACTGACTTCAATCCAGTGGCCGTGATGTTGGTGTTGTATATAAGAGGGAGTGAAGTAGCAGAAAGGTGTAGTAACCTGCACTGGTATGATGGCCATGCCAACGTTCATGAAATGCATCAGTGGACTCGAAAGTTACTAGGATAGATAACGGACGCTCGGACATGATACCGCAATATGAGCAAACTTTTTAATTTCTAAGAATATGCATCTCTCATGCTATGAATTGAGGATTACTGGTAGTAATAAAAAAGGAAGGCTCATCACTGCTCTTGGCTACCACCAAAATTCCATATGCATGTATTTCTGTCATTCAGGTGCTGAATGAAGTTTGTTTTCTATATGCAGATGTGCTGCCACTGCAGACGTCCTTTCTCTGGTTGGAGACACAGTCTGTAGTGTGTGCAGGAAGCAGTTTTCCTCCAGATGCAAACTGAGGAAGCATGTGATGACCCACACAGGGGAAAAGCCTTTTCGTTGTGAAGAGTGTGGCAAAAGATTTATCGACCGTGAGCATTTGAAGAGGCATTCCCGCGTCCATTCGGGAGAGAGGCCATTTCAATGTTCAGTGTGCAAGAAACAGTTCACAGACAATAGTATTCTGAAGACGCACTCTCGCATCCATACAGTAGATCAGTCGTACCAATGTTCCGTGTGCCATAAGGTGTTCTCATCCGAATGGGATCTGGGGAAGCATTACCGCATTCACAGTGGTGAAAAACCCTATCATTGCATGGTTTGTGGAAAACAGTTTTCCCGTAATGATTACCTACAAAAGCATTCTATAACCCACACTGGAGAGAAACCATTCCATTGTGATGTGTGCAGTAAGCAATTTTCATTGAAAGAAGGCCTTCAGCGGCATGCGCGCACCCACACTGGGGAGAGACCCTTCGAATGTGCTGTCTGCAGCAAAACATTTATTCGACGGGAGCATTTTAAGAGACACTTCCGTATGTCTTGTGCAAGACAAGCCATTGGCTGACAATTACTCTGAGAACTATATTACTAATGCGTATGTCCACAGTGCAAGCTCTCTGAATGTGTGTTCCATTTCCAGTTTCATAATCCGGTTCACTGTGTAGTGACAGCCTGAAGCTCAGCCCATTACTGCACAACTACTGCAGCATTTGGAGGGGATGGCTTTACTTTGCCCTAATTTTCACATGCAAGTTGTGTTCCAAACAGGTTTATATGAGGCTACAGTACAGTTCTGCATGAACATGAGAAATACTGAAAGATATGTATCCTCTGTAGATATACTGGTGGACATAGTTGAACACAAATTATGGAATAATTCAGATGTCTGTATGAAAAACAAAATTAGTGAATTCATTTAAGAGTTATATTCTCCTTTTGAATAGGTATTCATTTAATAATGTCCACCACTTAGGTTTCAGTCTGTGCTCAGTATCATCCTAATGTTACCTCATGGACAAAGAAAATGGGTTCATTACAAATATGTGCAGAGATCTTACCTTGTTCCCAGTTGCTCATGGTGAATTTGGGTACTTTATCGGTTTAGTTTTTCTTGGAATTCAGTGACTTATGTTTATAAAATAGAAAGTTTTAAAAATATTGCAATGAAAAGCAGGTGTATGAACCCTTTTTAACGTGTTTTCCTTTCTTCTTTTAGTGTAAGAGGTCACCATTCCATATGTGTTTAATCCTTTTCAACTTTTGATATGGCTGGATTTAACATAATGCATAACCACTGTGTCACTGGAGTTGACCCCCAACCTCATACATTTTAATTTCTTGAAATTGGTAATAACAGTGTGGCCGATACAGGAATGTAGGAGATGGGAGTGACAGTAGCACCGCTTAGTACATAGTTTTTTGGTTAGGCCTATGCATGTAATAAATCTTTAAAAAATTCAACTTTTGTTATGGTGAATTATCTAATGTAAAACAGCATAACCATCACAAGAAATCAGTTTTTTTCCAGTTTAATGGTGTTAATTCATCATTCTGGCTGAGTATGTGGGATCTGGGATGGAGATATTTTTTTTTTTCCTTGGCACTACAGCCCCAGTGGGCCTAGGCCTACCTCCATGAACTCCGTTCACTTCGGTTTTCTAGATCTTACACATACGGTAGGACTCCTTGGGCGACTGATCAGCTCGTCGCAAGGCCTCTACCTGTAGACAAACACAGAAAAACGCACACCAACATCCATGCCCTGAGTGGGATTCGAACCCACGATCCCGGCTTCCGAGCGAACTAAGGCAGTGCATGCCTTAGACCGCTCGGCTACCGTGACCGGCGGGATGGAGATATACCATAGTATAAAGATGAATATACAAATAAAATACCACTTATAAGCCAAAAATCAAAACATGACAGTGGTGAGATGTTCATTTTTTGATCTTATTATATGTAGGAAAAGAGCTAAACTAGAATTTGGTTTTTGCCATAAACTGACCCATAAGAATATTATCTTGTTACACAATACATTGAACTACCCACAGGTACATAAGTTTCCAGCTTTCAGCTGTATGATAAATAGAACCACCAATTTTCTGATCACAGTGCATGAAAAGCAAACATAAATAATAAGAGTAAAGCAAATAACAGGCAACAGTGATTATAGTGTACACAGTGTAATTTTGATTAATTTTAGGAAGCTGCAAGATAAGCATAAAAGTAATAAAAGGAAAAGGGTAGAATTCACATATTTTGATAAAGGTATTAATTAACATTAACTAAAATATTAAGATATAACCTGTAGGAAAGGGGCATGGGATCACATTTCCTGGCCTGCATGTGCATCTTGTTCAGTCAGAATACTGAGACCCACCTTGTGGCATGTTCAGGAGACTTCTTGGCAGATAATGAAGACCAAGGTCACCCATGAAGATTCTGGAGCTTCTGCTGCATGTGACATGCCTTATAAAAAGAGCATTAATGAGTCAGCTCAAAGCTATCAGTTCAGTCATTGAGTGACTATCTGATCTGTTTTTGATGCAGTACAGCTCGCTCAGGAGAAGAGTGAGCACAGTATTGTGACAGTTGGTGTTACTGTGAAGTAACAAGTGGACAGACAGCTGATCTCAAAAGCATAAGTGGTTACGGATGGTGAGCCAGTAATCACTCTATAAACTGTTAATTGTTACAATACCAATTTGAAAATTTTATACGAGAAAGAAAGAAATCAAATTGCAGGCAGAGCATAAAAATAAAATAACACCAGGATTTGTAAGCTGAAATGTTTAGGATGTAACCTAGCTAAATTGGGTATGAGTAACCACATTGTATGCTGTCAGATGAGATGAGCCATGTTCACGTAGCACCAAAGCGTGACTATAATGACAGCTAAAGTTCTATATGACAAAGTACAAATGCAGTGGAATGCTGAACAAGAAAATATCATACATATCTGTTGCAGTAAATAAATATTGTTTTGTGTATTAGTGACTTGTAGATGGGGTTTGAATTGATTGGATTTATTAACCTCTTATACAGTCTCTCTTAATTACAGTCAGTACAGCACTTTCGCTGATATAAACAATTTACAGTTTACTCTTACACACTAGGATTCTCAGTCTTCACTAGTTGTCTCCTGGTAATAAAATTAAAAGTTTCACTGTGACTAAATCTTCTAATTACAAGCTAAGTCTTCACAGCCTGACTTCTAATTGTTCTTCAATTATGAACTTTCTGTGGCTATCTCCTACTGAGAACTGAACTGAATTCTCTAGTCTTGACTTTGTACTAATCTATACTCAACTAATCTCTCGACTGCTAGTCTGCTGTTGTATTCCCATTCTCTTGACACTCCAGTTCCTTCAAACTGGTTTCCTCATATAGACGTGACTTGAATACGTGTCACAGAAAACATATCACATGATCGCTATGCACTATTGTGATGTGATGTCATTTCACATGCAGAAGCTGCAGGGGCATGAAGAAAACACTGCTGCTCTATTGTTGTGTGAAATCACAGCCTATGCGGAAATGTGTTTGCCGAGCCACTGCCTAGAAACAGGTTGCATGACCCTGTTGTTGTATTGCTGTGAGTGTTGCCCAGCAATGGATTTATATGTCACAATATTTTCGGCTCCCTGGTAAATTGCTGTTGGCCTTTGCCAGCAGTTGTTCTTCATTCCAGGCCCCATGGGACCCATGATAATATTTTGTTTCACAACTCTTGAGTCTTGAGACTGGTCTTAGTCAGTCAGGTGGGGTAAATTGCATCATGTGGTTTGCCAGCACAGTGTTTCTTGGTTCAGAGTCCTCTGGGACTCATGGCTATATTTTTCTGTCTCACAACTCTGGGAGTCATGCAACTCATTGGCCTCTAGTCCAGTAAATCATTGCTGGTCCTTGCCAGCACAGTCATTCTTGGTTTCAGGCCGTGTCAGGGCCCATGACCTAATTGGCCTCAGACCAAATAAATGTTTCTTATATGCTGCTCCATATTTAATTTACTGGAAGACTGACTAGAAAACACCACCCCTAACAGTTCCTCTATTGTTGTGTGTACTGACAGCCATGGGGATGTGTTTACCAAGTTGGGTATCTCCAAGGCCCTTCTCTGACTCCACAATTCTGGCTTTGAGACATCATTTCACAGTATTGTTAAATACCTACTGTAAGGAATTCACCATCCATATTTCACTGAGTAATATGTTCCATTCCACAGTCAGGATGTTTTCAGTTTTCCAGTAATCTCTTCATAGTCTTTAATGGTGAAATTAATGGACATTAAGAATCATATGAGAAGAAACTGGAATTTTTGTGTTGCAACAAAAATCTTACAATATCTGTTACAGGTTGCATTTTATTTTGCCCTTTCAGCTGCTCTGACACCTCTACTCATGTTGGCAACAGATAAGGGCACAATTCTTAAAGTGTATTGCCAAGTCCAGTAAATATTTTCAATTACAAAAATGTGTTCTTAATTGACTAACACTTCATTCCACACTTTCATCATTTATTACCATTAAGGTCTAAATTTAAATATATCAGCTCAACTCACATCACTAATTATGGGAAAGTGTCAACTGAGAAATACTATGTATCTAGACACATTGCTTGTGTCATCATTCTCTTCACTGAGGGAATTTAACAAATAATGTTGGCAAAAATAATGCGAGTGGAGCAGAGTCAATTCAGTGTGCTAGCCAAATGTAGGAAGCAAGTGTAACAGTGCGTTTTACCCACACAGAGTAATTATATATCTGATCTTTTCACAGCTTTGTGCTGATTACCTAGAAATGTCCCTAGGTACATAATTTATTTTTCCAAGTGACATTCTGTTTTGGAATAATATGAAAAGTATGTTATTAACTTCCAGGGCCTAATTGTGAATTACAAATGCAATAAAATGGGGTGTATCAAGACTGGAAAGAAAGAAGTAAAATCCCCCCCAAAGAAAGATGCAATAAAAGAGACCTTCAGAGACAAGTGTTCCATACCAGTAGTTCTCAACCTTTGCGAGATCACGGCATGGTAAATTCTTTTTTATAAGACAAGGGCCTGGTATAATTGCTGCCAGATCCTGGCACTGAGAAACACTGTTCTATACAGTCTTCAGATGACAATAATATGCTGTTTACCATTATTTAGCTGAATGCTGAAAAGTTGAAGGTTTAACACTTAAATACAGGCCAATGTTTAACCATAAACTTCTAACAACTGAGGAGAGGGAGTTGTAAGATTACTGGCTTGTGTTTACAAAACTTTAATATGGACTCCCTGTAGTTTTTTTATCTGAAATTCTTCCACCTGTGTTATTTCTGTCTTCCACATGCGACTGGTGGTCTGATAAGTGTTACCATATGTAGATTACCATATCCAACTAAGGTAAGATAGCAGCGCATGTGAGCAGCTTCATGTGTGTCGCATTGCCTGTCTGGTGTTGATCAGAAAGGGCTGCAGCTGTATCTTCACAGATGCACATATTTTCATGTCGAGATACTGCGACAATTTTACATTTCCATTACTTTTCATGTGCTTGTATGGTATGTGAAATTATCAGTCATGCATATGATTATATTCCAATCCTTTCTTAATATAAATCCATTAATGGGCAGCAATGAGTGAACCAGTGGCTCTCAACTTGGGTGGTGTGCCCCCCTGAGGCAGTAGTGAGGGAGTTTCAGGAGTGTGAAGTCATGAGAAGTCAGATTTTAATGTCAACTGCAACTTAAATAATTCTTTGTTAGCTGCATTTAATTACCTCTTCTGTAAGAACCCATCAGAATTGCTAATTCAGACATTAAAAGAATTGGATTGATGGCACTTAAAATTTGTCAGCCATGTTTATGGTCAAATAAACAGCACTGTGCAGCAATTTAATTTTAAACAATTTTTTTATTCACATCTGTGACATACTACCTGTGAAGTTATTTGCTCAGAAACAATAATATACAAATGTAAGTGGAAAACATAGGGAGGACATTATATAAGAAGTTTAGGAACCACTAATCTAAATGGTTTTTTTTTCAATACTATTTTAATTTATAGTAAGTTCAAAAAATTAACTGATGTTCTAAATCATATAAATACCACGATATAAAATATTGTAACGTGTCTGGAATCCAGAAGAGTCGCTTCTATGGAAACGCTAGAACAGACCGTTGCATAGGAAGTAACAATAGCGGCACTGTAATCCCAACAGTGAGCCATTGTGTAGAGAACACCGAATCTCCACGGTTATGACGAATATGCGAAGCATTCCCACAGAGACAACGCGATAACAATGGGTTATTGCGTAGGAAACGCGGAGCCAACAATGCAACGTTTCCACTGCTATAACAGAGGATTCATTTGCCTAGCAGCGGTCAAGGTTTAAAAGCCCAGCTTCGACGAGAAGTCTTCAGTCGCGGAATAGCCAGCTAAGAAGTCAGTCGTGATCGAGCCATCTTAGAAGAGAGTCCAGTGTCGGCTGAGATATAAGCAGTCATTGTAATACTGCAAGTGATGATAATTGTAAAGCGTGTGAGTGTATAAGTGGAGAACAATAAAAGTTCTACTTAATTGGAGGCCTACGTGACTCTATTTGTGGCGTGACATACCCAAACACGCTACAATATATATGTATGGTGTAATTCAGATGGATTTACTGTCATTGCCTCTATATCGTATAAAAGAAAGTTATCATTTTAATATGTCAAAAAAGGCTACAGCGTAAGAATATGTCTTCATTACCAGTAAATTCTTTCTACTATTTAAATGGAGTTTCACATCAAGAGGATCTGATATGTATTGTGAATAGAGTGAACAAGATCATTTAATTTTCTTATGCAACGTGTGAAGTTAATAAATTAATTATGTGTTTTATTCACAATCAAGCCCTGAAGATTTATAGTGGAGTTGAGGTATCGTCTGCTGGCAACCAAAGAGGGACAGTAGGGCACCTGCCACTGTGTCAACTGTGATGTCCGGAATGGGGACGACTTCTGGCCAGTGGGTGAAACGGTCGACCGCAGTGAGGCAGTATGTGTATCCCGCTGATGTTGGAAGGGGTCCCACAAGGTCAATATGGACATGCAGAAACCGGGCTGCCAGCGGTATAAAGCCGCCCTGTGGAGAGACTTTGGAGCGCTGGCAGGACTGGCAAGCATGTGCCCAGGTGTGGCAATACTTCTGCATGCCTGGCCACATGAATCGCTGTGTGACCAGCTTCGCTGTTGCTCTGGTACCTGAGTGCCACAGATCGTGGACGGACTGGAACACTTGGAGTCGTAGAGGCGCCGGAACATACGACTGAGATCTCCTGGTAGACCTGTCGCAGTAGATGGAGACTGCGGTACCGGAGATTGGTAGTTTCTCGATCTGCAGTGCAGTGGTTGACCCCAGGAGTGCTCGGACTTCGTCGTCACTGTCCTGTAATGTGGCAAGTGCGTCGTAAGGTGGTGGGGCAGTGACGGACTCGACGTGAGAGAGGGCTTCGGCGACAACGTTGTCCTGTCCAGAGATGTGTCGATGTCGATTGTGAACTGGGAGATGGAAGTCTAGATGGCTTAATGGTCGGGGTGAGCATTTATCCCGCTTCTGCTGGAAGGCATAGGTGATTGGCTTGTGGTCGGTGAAGATGAATAAGTGACGCGCTTCCAGCATATGGTGGAAAAGCCTTACTGCCTCGTAGATAGCCAGTAGCTCACGGTCGTACTTCTGTTGGGACGGGTTGAGTTTCTTTGAGAAGAAGGCGAAGGGCTGCCAGGTGTACCTTACGCGTTGTTGTAGCACGGCACTCATGGCGGACGTGGAGGCATCTGTGACGAGTGTAAGTGGCACGTGACAAACTTGCTTTGCAGTCTTCGAATTCCTTGTGGAGCTCCGGTGTCCAAGTGATGGGGTGAGAGACCTTGACTTTGGGTCCGGAGAGGACGTCGTGCAGTGGTGCCTGCGTAGGGCAGAAATCGCCTGTATAAATTCAGCATGTCTAGGAATCGTCGGAGCTGACTGGCGGTCTTCGGAGGGGGGCAGTCCTTGAGATGGGCCACTCGGTCTTCCAGAGGTTCAGAACCCTCGGCGGACACTTTGTAGCCGAGAAAGGTGACCTCGGGTCCTCTGAAGACGCACTTCGACGGGTTTATAATAATCCCGTACCTCTGGAGTTGGTTAAAGAGAGCACGTAGGTGTTCGTGCTCTTCGAATGACCGGGAGAAGACAAGGATGTCGTCTAAGTATGCGAAGCAGAAGTCGAGTCCCCATAGAATGTCTTCCATGAAGGGCTGGAAGGTCTGGGCAGCGTTGCACAGGCCGAAGGACATGAATGGGAATTGGAAGAGGCCGAATGGAGTGGTGATGGCACTCTTCTGTATGTCTTCAGGGTGGACAGGGATTTGGTTGTAGGCTCTCACCAGGTCAATTTTGGAAAAGACGGTACAGCCGAAAAGCTGGTGGGAGTAGTCGTGGATATGGCGGACAGGGTAGCAGTCAGGGATGGTTCGGGAGTTGAGCGCTCTGTAGTCGCCGCATGGACGCCAACCGTTGTCTTTCTTGGGCACGATGTGTAAAGCCGAGGTCCAGGAACTCTCTGAGTGGCGAGCTGCACCATCCCATAACATGGCGTTGAACTCGGCTGTTGTGATAGCGAGCCGGTTCGGTGCCAGTCGCCGTGGTCGGCAGGTTACTGGTGGGCCAGGTACAGTTCTGATGTGGTGGACGGTGTTGTGTCATATCTCACGCTGACTCTGGCTGGGTGGGTCAGATCCGGGAACTCTGTGAGGAGGTTGTTGACCGGTCTGTTGTTGCTGATGGTCTTTACACTGGGGATCAGTGCGTCGGCCGCTGAGGCCGAGGCTGACAGCGTCGTGACCCCGTCCAGAATGCGGTTGTTCTGACAGTCCACAAGGAGACCGAAATGCGATAGGAAGCCCACGCCCATGATGGGATGCATGACGTCGGCTACCACAAACCACCACGTGAATTCTTGGCGTAGGCCCAAGTTGAGGCTGACAGGCAGCCATCCGTATGTGTGGTTGGTACGTTCCATGCGTCGAAGGACGAACCTGCGGGGGTATACACAGAGGTCCGAACCCGTGTCGACCAGGAACTGCCGTTTGCTGACTTTGTCCGTTATGAAGAGGCGGCCTGTCGTTTGTAGCGCAGACATGTGCCGCCGATGATGTCTGCTGTGTCAGTTTCCCTGCTGGCTGTAGGAGCAGGCCAGAGTAGAGTTTTGCGCCCGAGCGCCGAAGCGGCGATGGTACCAGTAGGTACTGGATGTGGTGTCGCCACGGGAGGGAGATCTGCTGCCATGCCGGTGGCTGTTGAAGGCGGGGCAGGAATCCTTGGGACTGGGGCCTCGGTCTCTCGGGTCTCGCGCCTTGAAACGGTCGTGGAGGCGGTCCTGTTCGGCGCTAAGTGCAGCCACTTGGCGGGAGAGGTCATCGATCTCGTCTCGAAGTGCGGCGTTGTCCGTGGGTTGACCAACGCTAGCGAGCGCCGGCTGGATTTCGACCTCGGAGATGCGGTCCTCACAGAGGGCTGCGGCCTCCAAGGTGCTCTCGTTCTGGCCGGCGAGGAAGCTCTGTACATTGCGGGGTAGCCGGCTGGTCCAGGCGCTTCGGATGACGTTATCAGACACGTCTGGTGCGAGACTCCTGAGGTATCGCTGCAACAGGGACGGCGCACGGTCGCCAATTTCCTCGACCGTTAGGAGCTGCTGAATGCGCTGCTCTAGCAATGGGGATAGCCGCCTCAGAAGCTCGGTCCTCAGTAGGCTGTAGGGGTCTCGTTCAGGCGGAGAGGTGATATCTTCCACCTCTGTGGCGTACCGGTGTTCCAGCAGTGAGATCACGTGGCAGAACTTGATGCGCTCGCTGCTAATGNAGTGCTTGGACTTCGTCGTCACTGTCCTGTAATGGCTGATCGCTTGGACCAGAACGGCGGGAGCCGCACGTCCACTCTGGATAGTGCTGCTTGCGAACTGTCTGCGGCATCCATGCTGAGTCTGGGTCACCAATGTGGGATTGTTGATGTTCTAAAAGATAACCAAGTAAAACTGTAACAGTTTTATATATTACATTGTATAAATTGAATGTACAGAATAGCTGCGAAGCTATGTGGAGTGTCGATGTTCAAAAGTTGGCTGGCCTTGAAAAGAGCAGTTTGTTCCACCGTGAGTGCGCTGGCAGAATTTGCTCCTTTGTAGTAGACAGTCTTTACGGCCTTTCAGCTGGTTTGTCTCGGCTCGGTTGCTGGAGAGCTGCGGCAGCTACATTAGCTGTCTGGTAGCAGAGCGTGGTTGTTGGAGGGTTGCGGCAGCTACAGGGGATGGACAAAAATATGGAAACACCTTGTGAAATGCATGCCTGAATTTAAGTGTTTATTTTAGCGACGTTTGTAGGTGACACTGTCTTATCTGCCCAATACCACTACCTGTACAACCTCCGCAGTAAGTTGGAAGCTTCATTTGTTGTCGAGACAGTGTTCTGTGCAGTTTTTAGTGCATCATGTCAGAGCTAACAATTCGAACATGGGCAAAATGTTGGGGCCTGTATGGTGGGTGCTTCCGTAACCAAGGTAGCCGAGGTTTTTGGTGTTTTGCGAGGCACATTATCCAAGATTATGACCTCATAGAGGAGGACTGGAAAACACGCATCCGATAAACACCAGCGTGGACAGAAATGTGTCTTGAGTGAGTGAGACAGATGAACATTGCATAGGATTGTGATGAAAAGTAAAGACTACAGCTGCAAAAGTGGCTGCTGTACTGAATGTCACACTCACAAACCCTGTCAGCACCAAAACAGTATGGAGGGAACTCCACAAGCAGGGTATTTGTGGACGAGCTGTAATTCCAAAGCCACTCATCAGTGATCAGAATGCCACTAAGAGGAGAGTGTGGTGCCGAAGTCAGAACCTAGACTATGGAGCAATGGAAGACGGTCATTTTGTTGGATGAGTCCACCTTCACACTCTTTCTGACTTCTGGCCGAGTTTACATCTGGCGAACGCCATCCCAAGCTTACGATCCAGATTGTTTGCTGCCAAGAGTGAAACATGGCGGGGGTTCGATCATGGTATGGGCAGCCATATCATGGTATTCTGTCAGGCCCATCATTACCCTGCAAGGTCACGTCACTGCCAACGACTATGTGACCATTTTGGGTGACCAGGTCCATCCCATGGTGCAAACTTTGTTCCCCATTGGATGCCATTTACCAAGACGACAGTGCCCCTGTTCACACAGCTCACATTGTCCAGGACTGGATTTCTGAGAACAAAGATGAAGTGTCACGTCTGCCATGGCCTCCACAGNAACAGTATGGAGGGAACTCCACAAGCAGGGTATTTGTGGACGAGCTGTAATTCCAAAGCCACTCATCAGTGATCAGAATGCCACTAAGAGGAGAGTGTGGTGCCGAAGTCAAAACCTAGACTATGGAGCAATGGAAGACGGTCATTTTGTTGGATGAGTCCACCTTCACACTCTTTCTGACTTCTGGCCGAGTTTACATCTGGCGAACGCCATCCCAAGCTTACGATCCAGATTGTTTGCTGCCAAGAGTGAAACATGGCGGGGGTTCGATCATGGTATGGGCAGCCATATCATGGTATTCTGTCAGGCCCATCATTACCCTGCAAGGTCACGTCACTGCCAACGACTATGTGACCATTTTGGATGACCAGGTCCATCCCATGGTGCAAACTTTGTTCCCCATTGGATGCCATTTACCAAGACGACAATGCCCCTGTTCACACAGCTCACATTGTCCAGGACTGGTTTTCTGAGCACGAAGATGAAGTGTCATGTCTGCCATGGCCCCCACAATCACCAGATATCAATATTATTGAGCCTTTGTGCTCTGTTTTGGAGAGCAATCTGCATGCGTGCTATCCACCTCCATCATCGTTAACAGAACTTGCCAATGTTTTTCAGGAAGAATGGTACAAGATTCCCTTGCAAATCATACAGGACCTCTATTTATCCATTCCAAGGAGACTGCAGGCATTTCTGCAAGCCTGAGGTTGTCCTACACCATATTAGTCACAGTAATGTGTTTTTGTTGGGTGTTTCCATATTTTTGACCACCCCCTGTACGTTAGCTGTCTGGTAGCAGAGCGCGTTTGCTGGAGAGTTGCGGCAGCTCTCTTTGGCACAGTGAACAGCTGATGACTGATTGCGATCTTTGGGCTCCGTCTTTTATGCAACGCTTGCTGGGCAGACCTTAAACTTGCAGTTGTGATTGTGAGTGCTGATTGGCTAGCGCGCACTATGATGTAAAGGTGGGCCGGATAGCGAGTGCTGTATAAATACGAGCGTTGTCAGCAATGTGATATTGACTATGTGTTGAGTGCTGTCTGTTAGACCGGCGAAACCGCGTGTTAGTAGTGTTAGTATGTGGGATGTTCACACAAATCCATGCATTCAGCACTACATCGAAGTGAGGTATATGACTTTGCTGCTTTACCCCTGTGCCCATTCGCTCAGAGACTGTGTGCTCTCTAGAAATGGTCTCTCGCACCCGGGAACAATAAAACCATGACTCCTATGTCAACCAAGCTTAGTCACTGTATTGTATGACCTACCCAGGCTCCTAGATTTCGTTTTCTTTAATTTGAACTGTTCAACAGTTTTAAAAAATCTTTAATTATTTGATTCTGCTCATCATTGCAGTAAGTATTCTATATATTTTAAGAATTATATCCGAATTCATAGGTTTTGGCGTCTATAACTAGTTTTTAAGATGTGACACCAGGTAGTCTGGTAGTTACCAAAGTTTTATGGGGGATTCAATACCCGTTGGATTTGGTTTGTCGGAAATGTCGGTAAATGTACACTAGACTACACTGCGTCACAGATCAGACGACTGCTATCTTCTCGCTCATTGTATTAAAACCTGAATTGAGACTTTTTCTGTGCCCTCTGAAGCTGCAATGCTGCTGTATTTTTTTCATACTTCTTCACTTGTCAATGACAATGCTGTCATTTGTAGTGAGTATACTGAAATACTATGATCTAAATTTTCACCTTGTGAATAACTCTGATCTCATGACAGGAGGATTATTCAATTAGCGGATGGTATTACATGCTCAGAAACATGTTCGAACTCATAAAAATTACAGAATTCTGTACGGCGCTCACAAAAACGCTTAAAGTAGGAAGTGACTATAGAGCGCTACAGAAATTATCACCATTCATGTTACGACCGTTATACTCACCCATCTTACACGGTACATGGTTCGGCTCTATATAGCCATCTATCTTGCTAAAATAAAACTATTTCCACTGTATGTCGAAATCATGTCGCGTGTGAACGCGATATTTCATAATTAAAATAAACTGACCCTAATTGAAACAATTTAATTAACATACCAAAGTTCTCCCTGTGTTCATCGTTCTTTCTTCTCACGCCATCTCAACTGCAACCATATTATGACAGGATCAGTATTATTATCTTCCATTACAGAAGGTAAATACAAGAAAAAAAAAATGCAATCATGCATTACGTCAGACGAACATACCCACTTAAGATCGCTTAACATGTGAACAAGCACTCAAACATGAGTTTCCTCAGTGTGTGCATGTTAATCTGCTTGAAATCGAGGATTTTTATCTGAAATTGCAGTTGCCAGTTTTCTTGGTGTGCCCTTGTCCTAATATTCTCGCTCAGGATACTCTGCTTTCTCTGCATGTAGTGAGTGGTAAATACTGATTTAAGGCCAANTTTTGTGTGTGTGCGCATGACTGCCTGGTGCAGGATCTCCTACATTTCATCATCCAAATGATAGCAGGTGATGTGGCTTGTCAGTATATAATATCTTAATTTGGACACGTTATCCTTCATAGGTAGTATAATAAGTTTGATTTGTTTCATTTTGTTCCGTCACACTAACAGTTGCAATTATAAAAGACAAGTCTGTCCAATGTGACTATTTCAGTTTTCTCACTTGATGATTCACTAGCCTTACATGTTTCGATACATTTGGATCATCTTCAGAGGCACCAAACACTTTTTAGAAACCACTGTCACAACAGTTGTCATATCAAATACACATGTAATGTCCCAGTACACAATGTTCCATCTATCACTCACAGCAGCCTTTCTGGTTATAGAAATATTTAAAGTTGTTTTAAAGTTTTAAAACTTTGTTAAAAATTAAAATACATAAACCATATGGTTCGTGTCAATAACCCCTGTCGTCTCTCTACAAGGTGGCCGATGTTGTGCCTCCTATGTAACTTGATTAGGGAGATTCTTAATATGGTCCGTTATGATTTCTTGGCCCACTATGCTGTGTATACACAGCAGTCGGCAGAACTCTCATTGATGTGACTGATGTCACTTCAGTATTGAGGAATGAGCATACTGTCCGTGGTCTGTATCCTACTCCTTGAGGCAAGAAGGAGCTCGTGCAACTCACTGCATAGAATATTAAAGGTAGACATTCCAGTTGTCATGGGTGTTCAGAATCATCTTCCAAGTTAAAGTGTACAAAGTAAAAGTAATTAATCCTTCAGACAATAATAAAATTGTAGTAATAGAAATCAGGAAAGGAAATGGAAATTTACTAAAATCAATGAAGAGTAAAATCCATGATTTATTTCAACCATCTTCCAGTGCGTACACTCATCTATCTCCTCTCTCTCGCACTACATGTTTCGGCACA